ATTGTATAAGAAAAACGATTCTGAGCGAAGACGGTTAGTCAGCCTATGATATTACTAAGTATATTTGATGATACTAAGGTGAATAAAGCAATTTATATATAACCTATTTACGTAGAATTTTGTTTTAAATTTTCAATCATTAGCTATAAAAGTTGAACATTTTATACATTTTCAAACTATAAAATTATTATTAAATTTTAAATGTGATAAATTTTGTCAAAATTTGAATTTTAAATAATTATAAATAAAATTGTGCCTATGTATTTTTCATATTTTTCAAGTGTTATTGTAACAATATATCAGGAGCTTCGCATTAAATTGTCAAGCTTTTTTACCATACAAATACAATTTTATTGATATGAATAGAAAAAAAAATTAAAAAAATTGAAAACTGAAAATGTCCGTAAATAGCTCAAAAAGAATCAAAATATTTTGAAAACTATATGGTGTATAGGAAATGCTAATATAAAAATTTAGTAAATTTTTCAAGTATCTACAGTCATTCGTTTTTTAATTACAACAAAATTAGAAAATCGTTACATGAGAAATCGAGTGAATATCAAATGTTGTAAAAATATGAATTTCAAACGTTCATAAAAATTTAATTTGAGATTCTTGTAGACATTTTTTTTTTGATAAAGGCAGACAAACTTATGAGGAATCTTGCATTACATTTTCATATCTTAGATTTAAAAAGAAAAATTTTTATGAATTTCTAACACGAAATACTTTGCAAATTTTCGTCATTTTCACGTATTTTGTCAATATTTGGAATTTAAATGCTTATAACTAAAAACTGTGACAAAGGATTTTTAATATTTTTCATCTGTCTTTGAAAAAATATATTAGGACTTAGGAGCCTTCTATTAAATGTTTAAGCTTTTATACCCAACAAATAAAATTTTATTGATACTTATAGAAAAAAAAACTAAAAAAAATGGAAACTTAAAATGTCCGTAAAAAGCTCAAAATAACTCAAAATATTTAAAAAATTTTATCATGTATAGAAAATGGAAATATAAATAACCAGTGAAAATTTCATATATCTACGGTCATTTGTTTTAAAGTTACACTAAAAACCAAAATCAATTTTCTCGAAAACAGATTTTGCGTAAAAATTCCCGTTTTTCCTTAATTTTTCTTTTGTTTTTCACGGCGCTTTTGAAAACTACTGTGAAATTTTTGCTTCTGACCCCCCCCCCAAAGTACCAACTAGATTCACTTTCCTATCAGAAAAGATACTGTTGAAAAAAATCCAAGCACTTTTACTGTCCTAAAAGATGATGACAGACAAAAAAAAAAAAAAATATGAATTCGTGAATTCGTAAACAGTTGTCAATATTTGTAATGAAAAGAAAAATTCCGAACCAATAAACCACGATAGCTTATAAATGATTGGTGAAATACTGAAGTAAACTGAGGGTGCTAGTTTGAAGCTTGGGGGTGCTAAGCACCCCCAAGCACCCCCCTATGTGCGCCTATGGTGGGCAAGTGGGTGTCGCTCTGCTGTACAGTAGGTTACAAGTGGGTCACTGTATAATGGAAGATATTAAATTTGAATTTAATATCATTGTATAAGAAAAACGATTCTGAGCTGAGACGGTATGTCAGTCTAGGTATAAGACATATTATATACATATCGATGGTATTAAACAAAGAATTGACCTAAAATAGGTACCTATAATAAATTCCAAATTAATCATATCACAATATCCATTAGGTACTTATAACCAGGCCCGTATACAGGGGCGGGTTAAACCCCTACCCCCCCCCCCCCCGAAAATTGATCCTGGATACGTGCTTGCTTATAACGCGTTATACATCAACAAAACCCGTGATACTATCATGGATATATAATAGTACACTTTAGAAGTTTCAAGTACCCACGAATAATATTATTCAATCACAACAAAATAACTAAAATAGTTATTCTAGGTTTTTTAATATGTAATTTCGTACAAATTTGAATTTAAAATGTCTGTAAAAAATAACTGTGTTCATATATTTTTTAGATTTTTTGGTTACAGTATGAAATATTTATGAGAACCTTTGTTTTAAATTTGCAATCCTTAGCTATAAAAAATGAACATTTTATAATTTATTAATTCCAATGATTTATAATTTTCGATATTTTGATAAATTTTGTCAAAATTCGATCTTTAAATGCTTATAAAAAAAACTGTGCCTATGTATTTTTAATATTTTTCAACTGATGTTGTAAAAATATATCAGGAGCCTTGTATTAAATTTTTACACTTTTTGGCCTAACAGATAAAACTTTATTGATATTTATAGAAAAAAAAACTGAAAAAATTGAAAACTGTATATGTCCGTAAACAGCTCAAAAAGAGTCAAAATATTTTCAAAATTGTATGGTGTATAGGAAATGCTAATATAAACATTCAATACAATTTTCATGTATCTACAGTTATTCGTTTTTGAATTACAACAAAATAAGGAAATCGCTACATGAGAAATCGAGTGAATATCCAATGTTGTAAAAATTTGAACTTCAAACTTTCAAGCTCATAAAAATTTAATTTGACTTTCTTATAGACATTTTTTTTTTGATAAAGGTAGATAATCTTATAAGGAATCTTGTATTACATTTTCACATCTTAGATTTAAAAAGAAAAATTTTTACGAATTCTTAACTCAAAATAATTTGCTAATTTTCGTGATTTTTCCATATTTTGTCAATTTTTGAACTTTAAATGCTTATAAAAAATACTGTGACTAACGATTTTCATCTGCCTTTGAAACAATATACTAGGAGCCTTCTATTAAATTTTCAAGATTTTTTAACCAACAAATAAAATTTTATTGATATTTCTAGAAAAAAAACTAAAAAAAAACGAAAAATGAAAATGTCCCTAAACAGTTCAAAATAAATCGAAATATTTTGAAAATGTTATCGTGTATAGAAAATGCAAATATAAACAACCAGTGAAAATTGTATGTATCTACGGGCATTTGTTTTAAAGTTACACCAAAAACCAAATTCAATTTTCTGAAAAATCGATTTTGCGTAAAAATTCCCGTTTTTCCTTAATTTTTCTTTTGTTTTTCTTGGCGCTTTTGAAAAGTACTTTGAATTTTAAATTTTGACCTCCCCAATGCACCAGCGATATTCACTCTCCAATCGAACAAGATACTGAAGTCGAAAATCGAAGCATTATTTCGACTACTTATCGTGTACACAAACACAAAAAGAAAAAAAAAAATTTAAAAACGCACATCATTGTAAAATCAATACATTCATCGTTTCACTCAGAATCTAATAGATAAATAAATTAAAAAGAAAATAATTGAAAAAAGTTGACAAATTATATTTAATATTTTTAAGTTAAATTTTAAAGCCCCGATACCGATTTCCAACTAAGGCTAAAAACTTAAGTACATTTTCTGGCGTTATAGTTTTATTTCACACCTGTATATTTGGCAACTTTGCTAAGAACTTAAAATAATTTACCGCGCGGAATCGTATTGCACCCAACTTCATCCATTATACAACATAAGGCTCAGGTACAAACATGTGCACTGGTGGCCCCACACAATTAATCAGCATAAGAGAAGAAATACTTTTTGGGTTCAAAGCATTTCTTTTAGTAGAGTAGTAGACACAATATTGAACTGAACTATATTATTTTGTTCAAATCATGGACTAAGATATAATGGACTAGAAACGACATGGTCGGCGGGGGTCGGGGGACGGCCCCACCAAAAGGTTCCACTATAGATTTACAAGTTTTTCAATAATAATGTACATGTGGGACGCACCATCCCTCCGTGCAAATTAAAAATATAAGTAGGGTACGCTAAAAAAAATAAAATTAGAAGGGGAGGTCCGTGCCCCTGCGTCCCCCCCCAATTTGATCACTTAGTATTGTACATAAAAAGTAACTGAATGTTCTTCTGGTGTTAATATGAACGAAATAATGTATGATGAAGTTACGCAGTTTGACTAAACTGGAAATGAACAGTTATTTTATAATAGGTATTTGATTGTGTTATATCAGGTTTGAGAAGCAGATATTCAACAGAAGATTGAAAACTGGAATTAGAATTCATCAATTTATGAAGTAAAAAATAAAATTATGATGAAATTTTATACTTTATTGAACATTATTATGACTTATGAGATAAGTTAAATATTTTTATTTATCTATTTAATTTCATATGCATATGAATACTGGGCCTCCCACTGAGAAAACTTGTTTTGAGGCCCAGAAAATACAAAACTATATTATATTATGTTTTTTTTTACTTCATAACTATTATATTATATTAATATAAGATTTTTTTTTAGAAGTCTATATGTATCGATAAAAAGTGAGAACTATCTTAAAGCTGAAATGTTGGTTATAAAAAAAATTATTGGTAAAGATGATTTTGATATGAATCCTACTGTGTTTGAAAATGAAAATCAACAAAAATGTTTTTCCTAATTTATAATAAATTATATAATATAAGCTATTAAGCTCATACAAGTAGCATTTACTATTCATGAAAGTTCTGCTTAGAGAAATGATAAATTTCTGTCATGTGACGCATAAAAACAAGCCTTAGAAAATAATTTAATAAAATAATTAAATATATCAATATATTTTACATTACCATACATAACGATAAATATTTATACTCCATAAACCAATAATTAAATATATTATGCATAACTAAAGGGGAAAAAAATTATTGCGATGAGAATAACTGGTTCATAGCTCATACTGAATACAGTCTCTATTATTATACTATGAACGATGAATACTGATTAAAATATATTACGAATAAAACTAGTTATGCCTATAATAGGAGGTGGAAAATATTATTGCGTTGTACTGTTAGTTACTTAGTTGATAATCGGCGTGCGTGTATCTTTACTAATAATTTATCGTAATCAAAATAAGACTAATAAATATTAGATTCACATGATTATTGGCTAAATATTCATCAGAAATCATAATACGAATTACAAAACCGTACTATATACAATATACATCATGTACAGGTAAGTTATGAAATGTATTTAAATATTATATCCAGGGCTGGGCATTAACGAGTTAAAAATTTAAACTTAAGTTAAAAAGTTAATTTAATTTTAACTTTTTAACTTAACTAGTTACTTTTGGCTTTTCATTAACTTAACTGTTAACTATTACTAAATTTATTTTTTAATTAACGTGAATTAACTGTTCTAGTCTATTTCGTTTTCATGTCAAAAAAAATTTACTGTGCATTGTATAAAGTTAAAAATGTATATCATTCGAAGCTAACTTCTATGGAAATAATGTATAAAGTCTAAACACTATAGTTTATAATTTAGTTTTGGGTTGGAAAAAAATTAAGTACACCAGTGTTGTATAAACAAATTAACTTTTTTAACTTCATAAAAAGTTAACAAAATGTGTGTATTCACTTTTAACTTAACTGAGTTAACCTTTAGTTAAATTAACTTTTAACTTTTAACTTTTTGTTTTTGGTGCATATTAACTTAACTTAACTGAGTTAAAAAAAAAAAAAATTACTTGCCCAGCCTTAGATTATATCTATATCAACTAATAAGTAATAAACAACTCAATTTATTTTCATTTATTTTTTTTATTTAAGAGAAATACCGAAGGCAGATCATAAAGTAGAACGTCCCTACAACCCGAGATATAATGCAAATATTTTTGAAATCATCACATATTGGTAAATAAATAAAAATAATATACTCACTTGGACGTATTTTAGTAGTTAAAATATACTTGTATGTTAAAAATATCGACATTATTGCAGATACCAATTGACTGGAATTTAAAAAATAAAAATAAATATTTGTGATAGTGTTTCACTCACATTGATGTGATTCCGATCAAACAAAATTAGATATTGCTAAATTATATTATAATATCTGACACGAGTACAAGTAGGTAGTAATATTGTTCGTACCTACCCTTTCTCGTAAATTGTCCAACCCCATCACAACACATTTACAAAATATATTTAAAATTCACATATTTCTTCTCTACCACTTTATTTTCCTACCAAACATATATTTTGTTTTAACAAAAACTATTTGACCTCTCAGGTAACGGGTTTTATGTATCTGGTTTCGTAATACCCACCTCCCCTAACATTAAGATACTATATCCTATACATTAATACACGATAGTGTGAAAGATCTAAAATCAATCTAAAATCAAATTTTCAAAGGCTCTTTAAGATGTCATCTTAAACTTGCTATTTATAAGTGGAATCTGCTAAAAGAGAAAGTACTATCGGTGGTCCTATTAAATGTTGTCAAGAGATTAGTATTTATTAGCTTATTTACTAGGTTAGTATGAAAAATATTTAACTTTTACAAATTCATAATATATGTAAAGAATTGTAATTGCTGTGCAGCAGGTGTCGAGTGTACCAAGTTATTTATTTTGTCACTGTATTGTATATGTTATATTTCAATAATAAATCATTTCTCATTAAGTACATACAAAACGATTCTGAACAGTGAGCGAAGGCGGTCTGTCAACCTATATAACCTAGTATTAATTCATGATATATGTTTTGATATTGCTCTTAATTAGTTTTTATTATATCGATATTCGATAGGTTTAATTCTTAATTTCGATAGGTTTTTTATTTATTTTTTCAAATATAGTAATCTTAAAATAATAGAACACCCTAAATATGGAATATTGAAGCTTTACTAATCAGCTGAACATACCAAATGTCTATACTTAGCTAAACAAATTTGTTATTTCTACACTATGCTTATAAAATGGTAATAGCTGATATAAACAGTTTGTAAAAATTCCAAGTGTGTAGGTACGGGTGTTTGTTTTTTAATTTCAACTTACTAAGATAACATTTTTTTTTTTTTTGTTCTTAAGCATCGGAAACTATGGCAATTCACATTTTTTAGGTGGGTTACGGTTGATTGAGGAACACGTGAATGTAGGGTGAGGATTCGTCATTTAAAACCCGAGTGGTCATCCATTCGGGAACTATCGTTGACCTCAAAACACGTTAGTGACTGAGGCTAACCACCGAGCCACACCAACTCCTAAGGAAATTGTTTGATGATAAATCGTTATTTTAAGCGTGAATATCTCCAGTTTCATAAAATATTAAACTACAGAGTTCAGACGTTCATAAAAAAATATTTGTAGAATAACGTTATAATTTAATTTCAGTATAACATCAACTAATGATTTGCATTATATTTTAAAACCTTAGATGATATAAATATTAAAAAGCAGGTATGTGGATGTTACTTTGCAGTGCAGTAGGTTACAAGTGGGTCACTTAAACTGCCCTTGTATCAAGAGTCTTATATTAAAATTCAAGTTTTTTGACCCAAATATAATTAGATTTTATTGACATTTATAGGAAAAAAACTAAAAAAATTGCCGTAAACAGTTCAAAACGAGTGAAATTATTTTGAAAATTGTATCAAGTATAGAAATTGATAAAATAACATATGGTGTACATTTCAAGCACCTAAAGTTATTCGTTTTTGAATACAGCAAAATAAGAAAATTGCTACATGAGAAATCGAGTGAATATCCAATGTTGTAAAAATTTGAACTTCCTATGTTCATAAAAATGTAATTTCATTTTCCGGTAGACATTTATTTTTTTTATACTGGGAGACAAACTTAAAAATATTTTCATGAATTTCTAACTCAAAATAATTTGCACATTTTCGTGATTTTTACATATTTTATCAAAATTTAAACTTGAAAATGTTTATAAAAAAAAAGTGACTACCTATGTATTTTTAATATTTTTCAACTATCATTGTAACAATATATTAAGATTCTCATATCAAATATTTAAGCTTTTTAACTCAACAAATAAAATTTAATTGACATTTATAGAAAAAAAAAAAACTAAAAAACTTCAAACTGAAAACGTCCGTAAACCGCTCGAAAAGAGTAAAATACTTTGAAAATTGTATCGAGTATATAAAATGCTAATATGAAAACAAAACAATTTTACAAGAAAGATTCCTCAGCCCCCTTCTCCACAAATGACAAATATAAATGACAAATATAAACTTGCAATCAGAAACCACCCTCAACATTTACTGAAGCATTTTTACTGTCCCAAAAGGCAATTACTTAACAGATGTAAAATCAATACATTTATCACTCCGCTCGGAAAATTAATATCGATAGTAACAATTACAGTTAGTTTTAAAGTTTGATCAGCCAACAGTGATAGATATACAGATTAGAATTAGACAATTAACAGTAGTAAACTTTAAAATACCAGTTCTTTTTATTTTTGGTTTCTTGATAATTGGTGTTTGAGTAAATGTTTGTACATGATACGACTCATTACTAAACGTTTCAATAGAAATGTTGTAATACCGATAAAACAAAATCAGACACAGTAAAATGTAAATTAAATTACTTATACAACAATGACTTATCACTTATATATGTTTATTACTTTCATAGGAATTTCATTGTTTTACATAATTTTCTCAAATGTAAGCTACCAATTTCAAAATTATATTATAATTTTAAGCTATTATTACCAATAAGGTCTTTATCTTAACACATATATAATATAAACAATGTGATTAAATTAACTAGCTACCTTTATTTTCTAAATCAATAATCGTGGATTTTGAAAAAAATGTTTTTGTATGGTTTGAATTATTTGTTTATTACTAAGTATACACATAATTATAAAAAAACATTAATTTATGATCATACTGATTTTTAGTTATTAAATGATTTATTTAGTTGGATGTCAAACCTATTTAAGATAGGACGGCACAGGGATTTAATTGAAACAGATTTGTATACGACATTAGACGATCACACATCATCATCATTAGGCGACCAATTAGAAAAGTAAGTGACCTACAATTTATAATGCTTAAATGTTTCATATTAATACTTTTAAGTAAATTTTAAATAAGTATTTATTACGGCATATATTTAGGACATGGAGGTCGGAATTAGCCCATGCATATTCAGTGAATCGAAAGCCGACATTTTTAAGAGCTTTGATCCGAATGTTTGGTGCCAAATATATGTTTCTCGGATTTATACTTTGCATACTTAACACTATATTCAAGTAAGACTTTTTTTTTTGAATTAATTTTATAATTTACAGATTGAATAAACAAACAAAAATAATAATTAATACGAAAAATTACACTAATAAACATAAGTGTCAATCGAAAATGTAGCATCCAATGATTGTTTAGAACACCTATTGATTTGCTACGTAATGTATTGCAAACCATTCTGCATAATATTTAATTCACCTAGGCTGTCAGCTAAATTAACAATTATATTTTAAGTCCACTCTATATGCTTATTCATTTTATCAATAAGAAGTAGATAGTAACTCTTAATATTATAATAATATATTAATATATCCTTAGATAATATAATTAAGTTCATAAAGCCATAAAGGGATAACTTTGAATATTGTTTAGATTATATTCTATATTAGATTAGACGTTTAAGATGAAACTCTCAAGTTCAAGGCAATTATAAAATGAATTAAACATTTGATTATATTATAATAAATATTGAAACTCGTTTCAAAATAATATGAAAATTATGTCAACTAGTGGTGCGTTATTGTAGGAGGAGGTGGAAATTAAGTTTTTCCTCGTATTATGCCACCATACGCCACCTGCAGAGAGTTAAATCCAAATTAAAATAACGAGAGATAAATTATAGCATTGATGTTACCTGTATTATACCTGTATACTCTTATTTAATAATATACTTAAAGTTATATTATATTACCATTGATTATAAATAATCATATTTATAATCAATCATATTACTTATGGTAATTTACAAAAATAACTTAATAAATATAACTTATTATTAGCCGTGTGGTATCATCTGGGTAATACATAATCATTAATCACTACGGCAATAGAACAAAAGATGTTATAAAGAAATCGGAAGACAAAAATTAGGATATAAACATATAAAAAAAAATTTCATCTATATATTATATAAAAATGAATGTGAGTGTGTGTGTGTGTGTCCTTCATGCATTTCTAAACAGATGGACCAATTGCGATGAAATTTGGTACAGAGATAGATTAGACCTCTGGGAAGAAGATAGACTAATTTAGAAAAGGGTAAATTCCGACAAGAGAAGGTGCTCAATGCTCATATAGGGATTATGAAATGTTTGTTTGAAAATTGTTGCTATTGGTTTTAATAATTATTATTATTAAAGCAATAATGGAGCAGTATCGCTTCTATGTATTTTATTACAGAATGTCTCAAGTTCGAACCACGGTTTCGGTGGACGAATTTTAGATTCTGAGTGGAACGATGAATATATTGATTTTACAATGATGTGTGTTTTTTTTTTGTGTCTGTATACACGATAAGTAGTCGAAATAAAGCTTCGATTTTCAACTTCAATATCTTGTTTGATTGGAAAGTGAATATCGTTGGTGCATTGGGGAGGTCAACATTTAAATTTCAAAGTAGTTTTCAAAAGCGCCGGGAAAAACAAAAGAAAAATTAAGGAAAAACGGGAATTTTTTCGCAAAATCTGTTTTCGAGAAAATCGATTTTGGTTTTTGATGTAACTTTAAAACAAATGACCGTAGATACATGAAGTTTTTAGTGGTTGTTTATATTTGCATTTTCTATACACGATAACATTTTCAAAATATTTTGATTTATTTTGAACTGTTTAGAGACATTTTCAGTTTCCAATTTTATTAGTTTTTTTTTTATGAATATCAAAAAAAATTTATTTGTTGAGTAAAAATACTTGAAAATTTAATACAAGGCTCCTACTATATTTTTTCAAAGACAGATTTTTTTGTGATTGTATAATATTATTCGTGGGTACTTGAAACTTCTAAAGTGTACTATTATATTTCTATGATAGTATTACGGTTTGTTGTTGATGTATAACGCTTATAAGTTATAAGTACCTAATGGATATTGTGATATGATTAATTTGGAATTTATTATAGGTACCTATTATAGGTCAAATTTTGGTTTGGTACCATAGATATGTATATAATATGTCTTATACCTAGACTGACATACCGTCTCCGCTCAGAATCGTTTTTCTTATACAATGATATTATATCGTTGAATTCAAACTTAATATCATCCATTATACAGTGACCCACTTGTAACCTACTGTACAGCAGAACGACACCCACTTGCCCACCTTTTTTTAGCATTGTTTTTATCTTAATTTTCCTTTTTTATTTTTATTCTTTATCTATACAGTATACATATACAAATGATAGGGTTTTTTTGTTATTCATCGGATCTTAGTACGGTTAGGTTAGGATGTATTTTGTATTTTGATTGTATTAATCCGCTATAGGTTGAATTAAGTAAAAACGACAAAATTAGTATAACTTTGATACTTTAGGGTTAAATTACACACTTGCGTTTAAACCACACGGGGTCCACGATCTACCACAGGTAGATTGCCTACCCGATAATATATTGCTCGCATAATCATACGCGAATCTCACGGACAACGCCCGTCGAGATGGCTATAATATATATTATTAAAATAATATAATAACATTTATACTTAAAAAGACATTGCTCCCACAGCTTTTTACACCCAAAAGGAACAATCAGAATTTTTTTTCCTGGCCACACCGGGTAATTATTTGGCTAGATTCTTTATAAACTTGAAAAAAAAAATGTTTGTATATTTGAGTCCGAATTTTTGTCTGCCTATTTTTATAACATCTTGAAATAATCTAGAATCATTTTGGTGTTGGTGACAGAAGCGCTAAATTTGTTTTTTTTTATTTATCTTAATTTAATAAACTCCATTACTGAGAACATTTTTCTGAAATTAACTAACTTAATTTACACCATTATTACAGAGTATCTGAACCTATATTAGTTGGTGAACTATTGGAATATTTCAATCCTGACTATTCCAAAAACTCTGATATAAGATATGCATACATATGCGCATCTGGTTTAGTAATCAGCTTATTTATAACAACAATCATAGAGTGTTTAACGTATCAGGAAGTCTTCAACGACTCGATGAAGGTGCGAGTTGCGTGCTCATCTCTAATTTATAGAAAGGTAAACCTACAAAATATTCTTAACAGATAATATTATTCTACCGTTACACAGTGATTACTAGCCACCGAACCATGGATAGTGTTTTAGTGGATATATTTTTGCTGTATAATATTTAAGATTGTTAGGATATTTTTGAAGGTGTATGCATTTATCAATTACCCACTCCTCCTCCATCATGTGGTCCGATCATCACTAATTTACGCCAATATTTCCAAGAGTTTAAAACCAATTTTTAGAATTTGAAAATATAATTTTTCATAAAAAAGTGTTATAAGTAATGGGGAGGGGGGGAGCTATTAATTATCCTTATAATATCTAGAGTCCTAAACAATAGACGTCACCCGAGACCAAACATTTCTTACTGATTCCCTTTCATTCCTAATTCTCGGAGGAACATTGGTCGGTGAACTGATTATTTCCTAATGGAATTGACTATACAGTATACATACAATTTTCTAATTATTTTCAAGTTACTTAGGTACTTATGTTAATAAAAAGTCTGTTAAATAGTTGGTAAATGTGTTGTACTGTAGTATAGGTTTTCTCTTAAGGACTACATTACTAAATGGCAATTAAATAGTATAATATTGTAATATGATAAATATGTACAACAATCTGTAAAAAATTATATATAATAGTTAGCATCCAGATAAATTATACGACAAATTCAAAATGGATTTACAATTATTTGACCCCCAATTTTCACCAAATATTATATTATTTACTATATACCTAACCTAAGACACAAGATTTGTAGATCTATCTGCTTTTTTTAATTTTGAAATGTTAAGTATTTAAACATCTGATCATTTTTAATTAATATTAAATATGTCGTTCGTGTTTTGAGCGGATCAGTTGTATCGCAAAAAATCCACGCACCCAGCTCAGTTGTGTCACGAAAAAGACACACGTTATTCGACATACAGATAATTATTTTCGCATGCAATTTTAAAACACTGGTTATAAATTATAGCTTACAAGTGATGTATTGCGTATTATACTTCATACTTTATGCTGCTGACTTAAGAGAATACTATATTCATAATATACCTAAATATTATAAAACCTAAACTATGCTTAGAAAGTTAAAAATAGTTGCTAATCGGGTGAATCTATGGCTTCACTCAGAATCTGCAAGTTCATATGTGTAATACACATTTTAGAATTTATAAGTTTAAAAGTTTAAAAAGTTCAGATGGAGGTAACAAATAATTTTGAATATTTACTTTAGTGCGACGGAATAGGTCAATATTGTAGCCAGTAAGTAACCAGTAACGCATTAATCCAGTGCCTATTATTTTAAAAAATACTTACTTAGGAGTTAGGGTGACTGCGTAAAGTGTGCTTTGAATTATACTATGAATCAAAAATATGTTTTATCTAATAATTAATCATTCATTGTGTATAATATTCCTAGTAGGAATTAGGTAATTTTTACATTTCATTCGTTTCTATGGTGATAAACCAAGAGTTAGAAACAAAAATCGGTTAGAGAATAAAAATATCTGTACCCAGTCCAAAAACATATGTATATTAAAATTAAGTTGAACATTCTAATTAATGACAGTAGAATTTTTAGTTATTACATTAATTAATTATACCTATTCAATATAAATTATTTATTTTATACAATGTTGGATGGTGTGGGCGAGGATCAGCTAGCCTTAATGACTATTTTAGTATGAAATTGTTGTTTGGGTTTAATTCCATCACCAAACAATAAAATCATCTTGTTAGGCCTATGCAAATACAGTGATATGTACATAATACTTATAGGTAAACATTACGCATAAGAATATAAATAATAATTGTCAACTTTATTCGCAGCCGACGATAAGACAACATACCAATTTGTCAAACGTTGTTCAACGAGATAGACCGGATTTATCGTCGACACTTATATTATTATTTATTTCCATATTACATTATTACGTAAGCTCATACATGAGCGTCAGGCAACGAATTTTATTTCGTCTTTTTCAAGTTGCATTCCTGTTCATTTGTATTTCCTTCAAAACCATTTTAATAAAAAAAAAATCTATTTCTAATCCATAAACGTAATAACTAATAGTTATATTATACAATATAAATATAATATAAAATATCCTAGGCTGACAGTCTCCGCTCAGAATCGTTTTCCGTAAACAATGTAATATATCATTGAATTCTAATTTAACACCATCCATTACAGTGGTCCGATGATAACCTACTGTACAGCAGAGCGACACCCACTTCCCCGCTTCTTGTTTATCTTTATTTTACGAATAAAAAATATTTTTATATAATTATATAACCATTTTTACTTAGACATTATTTCTGAGCAATAAAGCTCTTGGTGAAACAACAGTTGGCCAAATGATAAATTTGATATCGAATGATGTAAATCATATCGACATTGCATTACAAAAATTACATTATTTATGGATTGGTCCTTTGCAAACAATAGTGGTTACATATTTATTGTGGCAGGAAATTGGCGTGTCCTCGTTGATTGGAATATCAACCTTTTTTTTTTTTATCCCGTTACAAGGTTGGTTGACTATAAATTATTTGAAATCGGTGAAATGAAATAATTTATTTAAAAATCATTTAGCATGCTTAAATCGTGTATAACTTGTTTAATTATCAGGTTGGATGGGGAAAAAAATTTCTGAAATCCATTTAAAAACGACAAAGAAGACCGATGAGAGAATACGTCTAATGAATGAAATCATTTTAGGAATACAGGTGATCAAAATGTACACTTGGGAAAAACCTTTTAGTAAACTTATTGAATATGTGAGAAAGTATGTTTTATACAATTGTATAATAAGTAAAATATTTATACATAATATATTATAATAAGTATATTATAGTATTATACTGATGTCATTATAAACTATAGAATGGAAATTGAACAGATTAAAGAATCGACATTTATTGGATTCATTTCTATTTCGTTCAAAGTATTTCAAACAAGATTTCAACTATTCGTCAGTATCATATTGTACATTTTACTAGGAAATCACATATCTGTGCACAAAGTAAATAATATAGTATATAAAGTTGCCTTAGTAGCCTCACACCTTACTTCTACCTAAGCACCTCTAAGAATAAAATGTACCAGCATGTGTTGTCTCGTCTTACGTGTTCAGAACAACCAATTTTGTTTTTATATTTATTTTTTTTTTAAATGTTAAGAAGGTCCCTAGGTCAATTCCGTTTAAGACGGTGGGAGTCTTTATTTCTTAGAGTTTAATAATAAATTGGCGTGTATACTTGAAATCTGATTACTGTAGTTACTAACATCATTATTACTTTTTATGTAACTGAAGAATAGATTTTATTTAATATTATTAACTGTTTTATCACTAATTATTGTAAAAACAAAAAAAATTGTTTGTGCTCGGAGATTTTTACTTCACTCACCCCCCCCCCCCCTCCTCATCATCAAAGTTTATATTTCTGTGGGCTTTCTTGTCTAATTTTCCAATCTTTAAGGTTCATTAGATTAACAATCTAATATTAAAATTGAAAACTTACAAATTACAATTGAAAACTAGTTCTGTTCAATACAAATTTGGTACTTTTAAAAGATGGAGACAACACACGCGACTATTATTAAAAACTAACTGTAAGTGTTAGGGGGTATGCCGACACTTGGGCGCAGAAAATTGGGTGTAGGACTTTTAGGCGCAATGACAACTGGGTGGAAGACAATTGAGAGCGAATAATATATTATATACTAATATATATTATGATAATATATACAATAATATAATATAATAAATTCTAAATTTATTACAATATGTATACGTTTATAATACACGTTGATATATATAGGTTACTTTGTTATATAGCAGATTATTAAATTATTTACTACTACGTACTAAACGGACTAAGGTTTGAAAAATGATGATATTTTAGTCTGGTGATGTTCACAGTTGTTTAATACAATAAAAGTTATCATTAGACCCTTTTTTTTTGCACGTCCGGTTGAATGGCGTTCGGATAACCAGCGTACTGATAGCGTACTTATCAATATTTCTTTCTATTGCCAAAATCCCCATTATAATACATATAACATGGATAAGAATTTATAATCCACCAAGACAAAAACTTAACTGTGCTTACAGTTTTGTAATTACTGTAACAGATTTAATATATCTAATCAAATATTTGTGTTCATTAAAAAAATATATATATCAATTATAAACTAAATTATTAAAAATTGTGTAAATTTAATATTCTTAAGGGGACATTTGTTGTCCCTGTCTTACACACCCACGACATGACAAATTGTCGTTTACTAGTCTCAATAGTGTGCTGTTAGTTTTGATACTAGAGTGAATTGACCTATTATAAAACTTTTAGGTAAGAACATTATCTGTGCTTAAGAGTAACCGATTTTTCGAAATTTTCATTTTCAAGCAAGATATGGGTATGTGATATATCAAAAATTAAAATGTTCATATCTCGCTTGAAATTAAAATATCGAAAAAAAGTCAACGCTAAAGTACAGATAATGTTATTATCTAAAAAATTGATAATATTTCAAATCACTCTAATATCAAAACTAACAGCACACTATTGAAACTAGTGAACGGCAATTTGCTATGTCGTGGGTGTGTAAGACGGGGGCCACAAATACATGGGTAGCATCCTCTTAAGAAGATATTGCATAATAGTATTATTATAATTTCAATTAATAAATAAACTTTCTTGCACCCAAATGTACGGCGCCCAATTGTCTAGCGTTCAATTTTCCGCGCCCAATAGGTAGATGTTGAGAACCACATTTCAAAAAAAAGTCCACTGCTTACTATACTATTTTAATTTTAATTATAATTAAATAATCTATGTTTATTAATACCTTATAGGTTTATGTTCTTACATCAATATACTCTGTGTTGCATGTGTCAATGGTAGTACTGTTTTCTTCTACTTTGTTGAACATTGGTGAATTTATTGTATCCATTAAACGCATCGAGGTATATAATAATATTTTTATATTTATTTATTTCAAAATATAAGTGATAACACAATATACCTTATGTGTCACATAGGTAATTAACATATAAAAAAGAAAATCTAAGTATAAGTTTTTGTTTAGAACTTCTTATTACTCGAGGAAAAGAATCAAATATCAAAATGTTCAAAATCTGACAGATCAGTGAAATATGATGTTATTAAATCACTAATTGCTGATGAAAAGATTAAAAACGACTATGAGGAATTTGAAAACGAAACTGAACTTGATGGTGATAATGGTATAGTTATTTTAAATGCTACTGCGAAATGGATGGACGATCAAATTAGTAACACATTAGAAAAAATTAATTTAACCGTAAGACCTGGACGATTGCTTGCAGTTATTGGATCAGTAGGAGCTGGAAAGGTGAATAATGAATATACTACATTATTAATATGTAATAACATATATATCAGAGGCTGTCTAACTGTCTTTATTATAGGATATTTTAATCAAAATACAGATTTATTAAAATAATTACCTATATTGGTTTATACATTTTAAAAATTTTGCTTTTCAAACTTTCTATTCAGCATTATTTACACATAATAACATGTGAAATCTTAAAATGTGGAATGTGAATTATAAAAAAAAAATCTAAATAAACTTATAGCATGACGGATGGAGACTGCAGTCTGATCTGATTTATAAACCTAAAAAGTTATTATCATTATTGGGTTCAATTATGAATTAGAGTTCCCCTCAGGAAAGCAAGTCGAAGTTTAAAAATGTTTCCAAACATTCAACTATCTAGTTAAATTAATAAAAATGAATTGAAAGAAAACATGGGTACCCACAGAAAATAATAATAAAATATTTCTTTTAAGTAAAACATAACTCATGAGTTTTATATTCTATACGCAGAGTTCATTAATACAAGCAATTTTACGGGAATTGCCAATTTTTGAAGGTAGAATTTCAGTGCATGGGGTAGTGTCTTATGCACCACAGGAACCGTGGATATTTTCTGGGTCCGTTCAACAAAATATTCTATTTGGATCGCCGATGGATAAAGAACGATTCAAACAAGTATGAATTTATAAGTATGGTATTCCTAAAGCTAATTTGTTTACTGTTGTCCCGGGAACTACACATGCGCATCATAAACACCGTGGCATTCAACGTGTTAAAACAACATTCGTAATTACGTATGTCACACGTCACAGGGTCTGCAGACTGCAATATATCGCAGGTGGATAAATGGATTGCCTGCATGAAAATATAGTCGGATAACGGTTAACGTCGGATGGGATGGCTATATAATATAATATAATCGAACGTGTCCCAACTGACTCTCTGACTGCAGATCAACGTAGAGCATAAACAATGTTAGCTCGATGCTTGCAATTTTCACGCCACCTTAGTACTATAAGATGTAAGTGTGCACTAAGAAATTATTTTCCAAAATTCGTGTTTTAAATTGTTGCTTGCAAAAGTATTTTGAGATTTAAGATAATGGATGAAAATTTTTAAGTTTTGAACACCATTACACAGAATTTAAATCACGAATTGAACACAGTTTGAGTCATACAGAGTTGGCATTTTTATTGGGCAACGGAATCGTGCGGATCAGCTAGTTATTTATTATTATAAACTTTAAATTTAGAATACAGTTATTGAGATGATTTTTTAAATAGGTTATTGATGTATGTGCACTAAAAAGCGATCTTGAACAATTTCCACTTGGCGATGAGACCATAGTTGGAGAAAGAGGAATAACCTTAAGTGGAGGACAAAGAGCTAGAATTAATTTAGCGAGGCAAATATAATCTAGATAATTAACTAAATAATTTTAAATTTAATAATTCTAAATGTTTTACTTCAGAGCGGTGTACAAACAAGCAGATATTTACTTACTGGATGATCCTCTTTCAGCTGTTGATGTTAAAGTTGGCAAGCATTTATTTGAAAAATGCATTTTAGGTACATATAAGAATTTTTAAATTGTGTAAGCACATATAAACATCTTATTGTTTTTGATTAATAGACTACCTAAAAGCAAAAACATGTGTTCTTATTACGCACCAAGTACAATATTTATCTGACGTTGATCAAATTGTTCTAATGGATAATGTTAGTATAAGTCTATAATATTTGGTCTACTGGCTTATAAATAGTTGTATTAACATTTAACTTTAAAGCTAGGTTTATAGTATATTTTTATTTTCAGGGTAATATAGTTAGTGAAGGATCTTATCAAGACCTAAAAGCCTCCAGTTTTGACGTTGCAAAATTATTCGGATCTTCAGAGGATACTAATATTGAAAATGAAAATGAAACAACTAATATAAAAATCAATAGTGCCAAATCATGCTTGGTTTCTTCTCTGCATCATGGATCCAACAAGAGCATTATATCGTCTAAATTTGAAAATCAAATTAGTAATGACAAAGCTTCAAAGCCCAATTCCATTTCACATCCCCAGTCATATGAATATAATTCCAAAAATAAATTTATATCATACATTTTGGCTAGTGGAAGCACAACTAACATTTGTTTTTGTATTTTTATGTGCATTTTAACTCAAGTTCTAATTACCAGTGGGGATATTTGGCTTAGTTTTTGGTACTTTTTCTACGACTACTATATTTTAACTTTTAAAATATGGAAATATAAATGTATTTTTTATATACAATTTTCAGGGTCAATCAGGAAGTTTATGAATTTCATAATTTTTTTAATACATCTCACGAAACTAATACATCAGTGCCTCGTGATCCATATTATAATGCATCAGTATCTTTGTTGTCAAATTTCCAGCAACATTTTGCTATTATTTATGTCTTATTAATTGTTTCCCTGATAATATCAGGTATCATCAGGTCTGCTATATTTGTTAAAATTACTACAAAAGCTTCAATAAATTTACACAATCAAATGTACAATTCTATTATAAGAACCACCATGTTTTTTTTCAATACAAATTCATCAGGTAATTATTATTTTTAAATTCTGGGATTTAGAAAATATTATATTGCATACATTTTGTATAACTTATCATAAACAGGGCAGATATTGAATCGTTTTTCTAAAGACATGGGAGAGATGGATAAAATCTTACCAAATATTTTTCTGGATGCTATTCAAGTAATAAATTAAATATTAATTATTTACTTTACTTTAAAATTTTTTGTCTCTTTATATATGAAAATGCTTTGGAATTATTTCTTTATTTGTAATAGACTATTTTGTTTATTTTGGGAACTGTATTTATTGTTGCATCAACTAATATTCATCTTACTATACCAACATTTATCGTGGGAGTTATAATTTACAAACTAAGATATTTGTGTTTTAATACATCTCAATGTGTCAAAAAGTTAGAAGGAACTAGTAAGTGTCATATTATTTAAATTGTAAAGAAATGTGTACTTACCTATTGTATATATTTTATTTTTAATTAAAAACAATTGTTATTTGTAACATTAAACAGCACGAAGTCCTGTATTAGCTCATATGAATGCATCATTACAAGGTTTAACAACAATAAGAGCATTTAAAGTAGAAGATATTTTATCTAGAGAATTTGATAAACATCAAGTAATTTAAAATTATTATTTTAAAATGATAAACCCACAATTATTTGAATGGTTTTATATATTATTTGCAGTAAAATAATAAATATTTGTTTTACATATATTTAGGATTTACATACCTGTGCTTCACATTTGTGTACCTGTTTAAATCAAGGATTTGGGTTTTGGTTGGATATAATCTGTATTATTTATATTAGCATTGTAATATCCAGCTTTTTATTAATCGACAACAGTAAGAACTAAAATACATCACATTCAATTATTACCATGTTATTGAAATATATTTAATTTAATTTCAGATGTGTATGGAGGAAGTGTTGGTCTAGCCCTTACACAAGTGATGGCATTACTCGGTAGGACTCAATGGGGGATAAAACAATACACAGCTTTAGAAATCCATATGGTACCAGTTGAAAGAATATTCGAATACACAAATTTGCCACTAGAAGAAACTCTTCAGTCTACTACTAGTAAAATTTGATAATTATTATTTTAATAATTTATTTATGTCTGATGAATATTTCATATTTAAATGATTATTTTTTTTCTAGAAAAAACACGACCAAAAGGATGGCCTTATTCGGGCAAAATCGTATTCAAAAATTTTAATTTACGTTACAGTTTAGATTCACCATATATATTGAAAGATCTAAATATTCAAATTCAGAAAATGGAAAAAGTAGTTCATTGAGTGTCATTTTAAATGTTAAATAATTATAGTTTTACGTTTATTTAGGTGGGTATTGTTGGTAGGACCGGTGCAGGAAAATCCTCTTTTATTGGAGCATTGTTTAGATTAGCTCTGAATGAAGGTAAAATCATCATTGATGGTGTAGATATACACGAATTAGAACTGAACGACCTCAGATCTAAGTTGTCCATTATTCCTCAAGAACCAGTATTGTTTTCTGGGACAATGCGAACAAACTTAGATCCATTTGACGAATACCCAGACCATGCACTTTGGAATGCTCTAGATGAAGTATATTTATTAACTAATGTCACTTAAAAAAAAGTATCAATTAACTAAATGAAAAATGTTTTAAGAATTAATTATAACATAGTAGCTTATATATTATTATAGGTAGAACTTAAAGACTTTGTAGAGGATTTGCCCGACGGTCTAAACTCGAAAATGTCCACGAGTGGTTCAAATTTCAGTGTTGGTCAAAGGCAATTAGTTTGTTTGGCTAGAGCAATAGTACAAAAAAATAAAATTCTAATATTGGATGAGGCCACTGCCAATGTTGATCCAATGTAATAAAAGTTTTAAAAACGGCAATTTTTTTTGTTATCCAAAAATATTTAATCACATACATATACATACTAATTATTTTTACAGGACTGATAAGTTGATTCAAAATACAATTAGAAATAAATTTAGGTTTTGCACTGTACTAACAATTGCTCACCGTCTAAATACTATTATGGACTCCGATAAAGTATTAGTTATGGATTTTGGAAAAATAATTGAATTTGACCATCCATATAGTTTGTTGAAAAACACTGATGGATTTTTCTACAAAATGGTAGAACAGGCGGGAAAGGATACTGCATACTTTTTACATAGTGTGGCATCTGAGGTACTTATCAAAAAATTTATATTTTCTCATTTCATCAATATAAAATATGTGATCTTTTATAATATAAATCTTTTTACCATAATTTTTTTTAGAATTTTACAAAAGTCCGAACTCCAGTTGATGAAAAAATCTGAGCAATTAAATTATTGAATAAGTTATTTTAAATAGATTCTTTGTTTGTCAATCACAATTCACAAATGTATCGTTATAGTATATCTGTATATAGAACAATTACATCAGCTATCTCTAGTTAAACTAATCGAAATAAATAAATAATTGTAATTATTCTTTGAAGTATACTTATGATATAATATTATGATAGTATTGGGGAAAGGAGTGGCCGACGTTGGCTCGATACCTCGGTCACGGGGTTTTCATCGGGCAAGTAACGGTGTCCGGAGAACAAGTGAGCACAAGTTACAGATACCTACGGGTGCCCAATCAAAAATTCTGCCAAACAAAACACACACGTGTTCCTCCCCCTACCGACATAAAAACCTACAAAACCATAGCAGCTAATGGTCATAGTTACCGGGCTTAAGATCAAATAAAAAAAATATGATTGTATTATATTATATTCTAATATTATACAGTAAGTATTTGATATTTTAGATTTTGAGCGGAGCGATAAATGCATTGATTATATTATAATATTAGCATTTTATATACACCACATAACATTTTCAAAATATTTTGACTTATTTTGAGCTGTTTACGGGCATTTTCAGTTTCACATTTTTTTAGTTTTTTGTTCTATAAATATAAATAAAATTTTATTTGTTGGATAAAAAAACTTGACAGTTTAATACAAGGCTCCTATAATATATTGTTTCAAAGACAGATGATAAATATCAAAAAATCCAGTTACAATTTTTTTAATCATTTAAAGTTTAAATATTGACAAAATACGTAAAATTCACGAAAATGTGGAAGTTACATTGAGTTAGATATTTATAAAAAATTTTCTATTTAAATCTAAGATTTGAAAATGTAATACGAGATTTTTATATTTTTATAAAATATTTTTTTATGAACTAAAATTCTTATTGAGAGGTCGCTACCCATGCATTTGTTGTCTCCATCTTATACACATGAACGACGTAGTAAATTTGTATTCAATAGTTTCAAATGTTTCAATGGTATGATGTTAGTTTTGATATTGTTGTGAATGACCTATATTATCAAAATTTTAGGTAAGAACATTATTTATGATTATCAGTCTTAAGATTCTGAGATTTTTCAATATTTTAATTTTAAATCAAAATACGGGTAAGTGATATATTACGAATTAAAAATGATCATATCTCCCTTGTAAATTAAAATATTAAAAAATCGCCAGCACTTGAGCACAGATAATGTTCTTACCTAAAAGTTTGATAATAGATCAATTTACGTGTGAAAGACGGAGAAAACAATAGACGTATAGTGTCTTCTTCAAACATTTTAAGGATTCCAAACGTAGAGGTATTTTTTTACAACGCAATAAACTATAATTCCATATTCAATTTAAAAAGAACTTGGTAACCTTATTTTTGTACCTATTTTTTTAATTGTTTATACTGGCTAATATGAATCTATATTAAATACTCAAATAATGATATTTTTCAATACTGGCTAGTATAAATTTACTTTGAATAGATCCATGTTAAATTCTTAATACAAACAATCGTTACTTTGTAGTTACTGACTACTGTACCTACGGACTATTTATCAGTACCTTAAGATCAACAACCGTAACTGAAGGACGAAAATACACAACGGGAATATAAGGTGCTCTAAACTTATTTATAATAAACATATAATATTGTTTATTACGGAAAAAATTCCAATTACATTTTAAATATAAGATAGTTACTTGACTATTAAGGGGAAAAAGAGAGAGAAAGAGAAAAATAAAAAAACATTATTATATAAATCAAGTTGTGTGTGTAGTGTGTACTGTACATAATAAAATAAAATATAATTTAAGGAGAGGGAAAACTAAAATAAAAAATTAATTAAATAAAAAAATATACATCAAAATTGAAAATTAATAAATATATGAAGAGAAATCATTAAGTGAACAGTGAACTAAATCTACATTATTTATAGAATTCCATATAGCCATTAGAGTATTAGAAGGAGAGAATGACATATCTTTGGATGAATGTTTGTTTATGTCTAAAGTTTAGGGGGTTTGTTTTTTTATTTTTTTTTTTTTATAAAATATTGACTTTGTAAGACAGTGTAACTTCTTTAGCTGTTATACAATTATTTTATACATCTGTCAATAAAATACATTCTAAAAATTCTAAAACATTTTAAAAAGTATTAATAAAAAGTGAAAAATGAAATATAATGTAAATATTCAAGATAATAATAGATGTATCTTTGTACAATGTACCATCTTGTTGTAGTCTTAATTACATTTTTCTTTTCTTGTTTTTATATTAGTAAAGCCATGTATGATATCTTCGAAGTTACTTTTTGAGGCAAGCTGGTTTTCAATAGTTAACTTTAAAAGTCTTAAAGTCGTACCTGCAGAATATAATATTGTCTCTGTCTTACTAACGCATAATATAACAAAATGTACTTCCAGCTCCATCAATTGTTTATTGCTACCTTAAATATTTGAGTGTATTGACCTATTATAAAACTTAAATGTAAGATAATAATAGAGTTCCCTCGTTGATTTTCTTAAGATATTTTAATTTTTAAGTGAACTATGAGCATTTTCAAATATTAATGTTTTACATACACACAACTCAGTTAAGAATTAAAATATCCTAAAAAACCAACAAGAGAACACAGATAATGTTCTTACATTTAAGTTTGATAATATATTAATTGAATCTTCAACTGCTGGACGTATATTTTTATATATTATTATGTATTACTAAGACGGAGACAACACATGAGGGTATGACGTCTTCTTAAACTGATTTTTTAACTTACTGAAAGCTGTTTCTACTGTAGGTACAATGATTGGCAATGAACAAAAAATTCGCCAAGCAATAGAAGTATTTATAAAAATAGTTTATAAAGTTAAAGTTCTGCTTTATGAGGAAAACCTAGGAACACTTAAGACCCTCCTTTCCCAAGCCATCCCCTTCACCAAACGTGAAGATGTCTCATATTAATATATGAAATTCGTTTAAAGAAACCATCTCTTACACCAAAAACCCATAAGTTGTTCAGGTAATGTAATATCACCTGTGGGAGGGGTGACTGAGGACCAAGAGCTTTGGGTTGTGATTTGCTATTATTTTCATATGTTCGTTCCTGATTTTACCCTACTGTGTATTCCTGTTGACCTTTAAAAACGCTATCGCTGATAATACATCTATGTGTCAGCCTGCCGACGTGGCAGGCTGACCTGCTTAATGGTCATATCTGACCAGATACCACACCAGCATTTATCGGATATACTACTTTGAAATTTAGAATGAAATTCACTGATATGATTTTGAAATAGGTTATTAATGTGTGTCGTGTATGTACTAAAAAATGGTCTTGAACAATTTCCATTTGGCAATGTGACGATAATTGGAGAAAGAGGAATAACCTTAAGAGGAGGACATAGAGCTAGAATTAATTTAACGAGGCAAATATAAACTATATAGAGATCGTTAGTAATAATAATAGTAGAAATATTAGTAGTAATAATATCGTTTTAATAATTCTATTTTTTTATTTCAGAGCTGTGTACAAACAAACAGATATTTACTAACCTGATGATCCCCTTTTCGCTGTTGATATTAGAGTTGGCAAGCATTTATTTAATAAATACATTTTAGGTGCTTACACTTAAGATTTTTCTAATTGTTTAATGTTTATACATATATAAGAGTATATTTTTTGATTAATAGATTACCTAAAAGCAAAAACGGGCGCCCGGGAATTGGGCCACAATTCACCTTTTTTTCCATAGGTATACGGTAATTGGGCCACCAAAATTTTATATTTATTACAGGTAGGCCCGGTAATTGGGCCACTAAAATTTTATATTTATAATAGGAAGACCCGGTGATTGGGCCACTATTACATTTTAAATTGTAATAAAATAATATTTAAGAGGATGTCAGAGCACTATTTGTTTACTCTAAGATTACTTAAAATCATAGAAAAAATTATTCTGCGTAAATGCGTTTAGTCTATGTTTCGCATACACATATTTTTATATAAATTGATACAATTCCTAATACTGCAGCGCACACGAAACTTTACTCGAAGCGGCTGCGTATGTCTTATCAAATTCAGGCAGTTGGCCTAAGTAAAGAATACAAATTTAAAGATAATACTTCAGATGTAGGAAACTGGCTAGGAAATATATTTGGAATACCATTTTTAAATCCAGAAGAAGTAGGCGCCTGTTTGCAATAGATTTTATAAGTGAGATGCCCACAAAACAATAAACTCACAGCATTTTATGATTATATTTTTGACACTTATATTAGTGACGATGCTCTTTTCCCTCCGTATATGTGGGCGTTACGTTCTGAAACTGTAACTCGAACTACAAATGCCGTCGAGTCTTTTCATTCACATTTCAAAAATAATTTCTATATGTCACATTCAAATTTACATAATTTTTTTAATGTTTTATTGGAACTTCAATCAGAAGTTTATATTAAGATTAAAAGTATAGGAACAATAAAAACAAGAAAACAAACTTAAGTTCGACAAAATTGTATTCTTAATGAAATTAAAAAATATGAAGAAGGGGAAAAAACCCGATTTGAATATGTACAATCTGTATCATGTTATTTAAAAAAAAATAATTATATTTTTAAATATTATATTAGAAAAAAATTATTTATACTTATTTATTTATTTATCTTTGTAAAATGAGTATTGGCATTATTTATAAAAATTATTTCTTATTATTTATTGTTGGACTGACTTTATAGATATAAATGTCTTGTATTATATTTTTATGTACCTATTAGAAAATGTTTTTTCATATTATTTATTTTTTGACTAACTTTATGGTCCTTATATTATATTTGTAAAATGAGTATTAGCATTCTTTATAAAAAATTATTTCATTTTTGACTAATTTTATGGACCTTGTTGTATATTAAATTAGTTAAATCTGTATGGAAGTATTTAAAAAAAATATTAATTATTTTACGAATTGTATTTTTATATGTTAAAACAATAATAATTAGTTAATAAACATTATATATTCGTATTAATAGTATATTTGTGTGCTATACTTTTATGGCCCAATCTCCGGGTACACTTTAAAAATATAGATTTAATTTGTGGCCCAATCTCCGGGTAGTAAAATGTAAACAAATATTTTATACGAAACAGGTAGTTAAAATGTGGCCCAATTCCCGGGCGCCCGCAAAAACATGTATTCTTATTAGTTATTACACACCAAGTCACTAACTACTAAGTACAATATTTATCTGACGTTTATCAAATTGTTCTAATAATAATGTTAGTATAGGTGTAAAAAAGGTTGAATTACTGGATAATATAATAACAACAATAGCGTATTAACCTTAAATCTATATTGTTTATTTTTATTTTTAGGGTAATATAGAAACTGAAAGATATCAAGATCTAAAATCCACTAGTTATGACATTGCAAAATTACTTGGATTTTTTGAGGATACTAATATTGAAACAACTATATAATATACAAAATAATTAACACTATATAGGATAAATGCATTCCAGGTGTTATAATGACGACCCGGCGCCTTAAATAGGCAATTTGCAGATTTAATATATTATATATTTTAAATAATATTATGAAAGAGTTATCTAAATACTTATTAAGAACATTTATTATACATTTTATATTTGAATAATTACATAAAGGATGTTGTTCAAATTTTAAATGTAAGAATTTAATAAATATTATAAGAGCTGTTGTTTCTTGTTCTACATTTCAAATAAAAACGAATTTTAAATCAAATGTCACAACTAGCAATACGACATTACCTACGTATTTATTTTATTATTTTAGTAGGTATACTTTTTATGACATTTTGATTATAACATTTAACTTATATATTATGTGATTAATCGTCGTAATTTATTAATAACTCAATTTTCGATTAAAAAAACGTTGAGTTGTACAGAATTGAAAGTTTGAGGTTAAGTTGCAGGTTATCGATTCATCGTACTGAAGTCTTTTTTTTTTTAGAAGCACTCTGGCAATGATGGTTATAGACTATTATAGCACAGACGTACCACGCTCAGTGTAAATAATTGTCTGTCTGTGTATTAAAAATGTCTAGCTTGAATAAATTAACCAGTATCAATCATATAACTGTATTGTGTGTCAAATATTCATGTGATATGTTGTGATAAAAGTTTGGTTTGTGAATACTGCTCTGTTTATAGATTTATAGTTCTTATGTGTATGAATAAATATTATGATTTATATATAATCCTTTTTAGGGAGCAAATAGGATTTTAGTTTAATATCAACTACCTACCTACGCACGGATTATTTTTTGACCTGAATACCTGATAACGACTATTAAACAATATAATATTATAATATGTTTGAAAAACATGTTACATTTAAAATATTTATCAAATAAATCAAATATTTTTAAATGTGCACCATAGATTTAAATCACTTAATTTATAAGTAAATTATATTATAAACTAGCTGCATGCTCTGTGAAGTACATTATACATTGTACACTATATAATGTAATAAGTTATTTATGTAATATTCTTGTATTTTGTAAATAAATAAATTATAATAATAATAATAAACCTAGTTTACCCGGGAAAAAATGTAAAAAATGTACAAAATACAGTAAATATAATAGGTGTATGTCGTTTTTAGTGTACCTACCTGACTTTATGAACAAACTCGACCGAGATGGGCAATCGTCCTGTGGAACTTTGTACATTTTCGAACGTGGTTATAACTACTCTGTACACTTACTGACTTACCTGGTAGAACAATCTCTGACATTTTTGTCTAAATCAGTTGAGCAATTTTTGACAATAATATATTAGTAGCTACAAATATACATACATTTTTATTTAATGCTATAGATTAATATTATAGAATGTACGCTTTAAGTACCTATCCCCCTGCTATGTATACGTTATTCTATATAAACACTTTACAATATCGTATACGACGTTCGATCAAATTTGATCGGAACTTTAATTACACGTACCTTCAGACTTTCTATGACTACAGGACGTTATATGATCATACTAGGTATAGGTTATCTAATATATAAAATTCTTGTGTCACAATGTTAGTTACCACTTACCATACTCCTCCGAAACGGCTTGACTGATTTTTATGAAATTTTATATGCATATTCAGTAGGTCTGACTGTCTGAGAATCGGTTACTATCTATTTTTTATACCCCTAAGTGATAAGGGTTGTCCAGAAAAATATAAAAATAAAAATAATATTATTACTAAAATAAAAATAGTGTATTATTTATTGGTTGCTATTGGTTAATCGGGAATGTTTGTTGATTTGTATTATTATTTTTTGTCAATAATCAATATATATATACGGGGTGATTCAAAATGTATGTTACAATAATAGGTATAGTAATAGTATATTATTGTAACAAAAATGTTGAATCACCCTGTTTACCAATAAATTAATGTTTGTGTGTAGATTAGACCTCTGGGAAGTAGATAGGCTAGTTGTCGATAAAAAAATAAAACAAAATAGTACATTATATATTGGTCGCTATTGGTTAATCGGGAATGTTTGTTATTGATTTGTATTATTATTTTTTGTCTATATATACTAGCTGATCCCGTGCACTTCGTCACCCGTTAAATGTATCAACTCAATATGACTCAAACTTTGTTCAATTCATTATTCAATATTCGGTGTATGGTGTTCAAAATTTATCTTATCTTTTCCGTTGCCTGGAATAAAAATTCTGAATGGCAGCAGCAGTACATTATCAGGTAGGCAATCTACCTGCGGTAGATCGCGGACCCCGTGCTGTTTGTACGGAAGTGTATGATTTAACTCTAAAGTATCAAAGTTATACCAAGTTTATTTTGATATAATACGGTGGGTTAATATAACAAATTTGGTTGCTCGTAAAAAATCTCAACTCTTAAAAAAATTATGATTGTTGAACTCCTTTTGGGTGTAACTTGCTGCGGTAAGTGCAACTTAGCCACCCTGGTAGGCAATGTTCAATAATTCGATTTGATGCAAGTTTGTACCTGATCTGCCCGAATAACCAATGGCAACCAATAACTAAATGCTAATTTCTACTGTAGACTGTAACCAATGGCAACTATTAATAAATAAAAATAAAATTTCCAATTTCCATCGTGAATCTCAATGTCCCTGTTTGAGCACCTATTTAAAATGCAAATTTTAGCAAATCCTTTCTTATTGCACGGTGAAAATATGAGAAGAACCTCTATTCCAAATTTCAAATCCGTACTTGGAGTAGTTTTTGAGATACAGCGATCAGTGAGTCAGTGGTATTTGGATTTTATATGTATAGTCGTATAGATAACTAATTATTGACTAACATTATCTGACTTTATTTATGCCTAAAACCTGCTCTGTGATATCCTCTTTCATTTAAAAAAAACTGCATAACAATTGGATAAGAAGTTTCGAAGCCAAACCGTAACAAAGATTTCCTCTTTTGCTTGATTTCAGTTTTATATATATAGATATAAATGAATGTTTGTGGGTAGATTAGACCTCTGGGAAGAAGATGGGCAAATTTAAAAAGGGTTAAATTTGGTTTTTTTTTACCTAGTTAATAAAATGGGTACCTAACATAAAAAAATTTAAGTAGATAATATGTGTTTGCGAACGAAGAGAGCTGATTTTTTTTTAACCCATTCGGGCTGGTCAAAACCTTTGCTCCCCTCTAATGAAAACTTAAATGACGCCACTGTACAGTATATCACAGTTTTACCCGGTAAAAATTTCATATTTTCATTAAGCTATTAGTTATTAGTTATTACTAAATATTATAATATTGTTGCTATTACCTAACCTATACTGCTATACTCCTATACTACTATCCAAGTAATATAAGTCATAAGCCCACAATGATTTTAATTATAAAAGCAGTAAAAACAAATTTTTAAAAACGAAGTAATAGATAGGTAATAGATAGGTATAAATAATACATATTAATATTATAAAATATGCGTATGCCTAATTAATAGTCATATATCATAATATTATACTTCGATCCCGATAGCGTAGCGTGGCGCGGTCTACGTGACGGTAAAGATTTTTCTAAACTGTTATCGCTGCGTGTATAAATTGTTACAGTGCATACACAGACGAGGCGGGTCGTCTTAATAGAGTGACCTCTACCTCCACCATATTATATACTTAGGACATAGGTTGTAGGTACATATTAATATTATAATAATTATAATGTTCAAATAATACGTTGTTCGACGGCGGTGGTACTAATAATTGAATACCTACAATAATATTATATAGGTACACACCAATATAATATTTATAATAATATGATATCAGTTAAAATATATTATTTTATCTCGTTCGCGTTTTATCGGTTTTCACTTTTCAGTCGGCTGCCGAGTTCCGACGAGACTGAACGTTGTGGTCGTTCCTGCAGTGGCGATAATAAAAATAATAATTCACGTCATTCGCCTAGCCGAATTCAGATCGCATAGTCAGATCATCCTATATTTTTAATATTAATATTATATAATATTGTGTACAGCTTGTTTGCTGAAACGAGACGTGTTTTTAATACCTAATAAACAGTCTGGTCTCTGGTCACGATGCGTTTAGTGGCGGCGATGTTAGCGTCACCGGTGCTGGCCGCGGTCCTCTGCTTGTTCGTCTGCAGTCGGACAATCGTGGCGATGGCACCTGGTGGCGGCAGTAGCGATGGAGCCCTATACTTGACGCCCCTGATACAGGCAGGCCGGATCAAGGAGGCGCGGGCCGCTTGCAATGTGAAACCCCCGAAGGCGGCTGTCGAGAGCTACTCCGGTTACCTGACTGTGGACGATAAGCACGGTTCCAACATGTTCTTCTGGTTCTTCCCGGCAATGAGCGGCGCCCCGGACGCACCCGTCATGCTGTGGCTGCAAGGAGGCCCGGGTGCGTCCAGCCTCTACGCCGTGTTCAACGAGCACGGCCCGTTCTCGGTGGCCAAGACCCATGGTCTCAAGCTGCGCAACCACACGTGGGTAGCCACACACTCAGTGATATACCTGGACAACCCCGTGGGCACAGGGTACAGCTTCACCTCCGACGACGAAGGTTACAGCGTCAACCAGGCATCCGTAGGCCGCAACGTGTACATTGCCTTGGTGCAGTTCTTCACGCTGTTCCACGAGTACCAGAACAATGATTTCTACGTGACCGGCGAGTCGTACGCGGGCAAGTACGTTCCAGCCGTGTCGTACTCCATCCACCTCAACAACCCCGGAGCCAAGGTCAAAATCAACCTCAAGGGGCTGGCCATCGGCAACGGTTTGGTTGACCCCATCAACCAGTTGATGTACAGTGAATACCTGTATCAGCACGGATTCGTCGACGGTAACTATATAGATAACAAATAGCCATTAGTCATGTAGGTACGTCATTATTAGGGCTGAAAATACTGACAATATATATAATATATATGTTTTAATTAAAAACAAAAATTATTATATTTGTATTTTGTATTTATAGCCAGGAACTTATAAATAAATTTTAAAAAAACACAGCTTTATACTGACTATAAAATATAAAATAATTTGCGAAATGTGAGAAAAAATGGTTATTTTTTAAAAATTTTAAAGAAAAATACCGCAAAATGCGATAAAAAGAAAAAAACTACCTTAACAATGCAAATAATTAAAGATTCATTAACATTAAGTTCATCGTTACATAATTCATACTTTGCGCTAGGAAAACTATGCCAATATAAGGCATGTTTAAAAAAAGTCTACAAATTCACAGCCCCACTCATTATCGTGACGTGACTATATGACGATTATTAGCATGGCGTTACTTTTATTATAATATTATTATATAATATTTCGTCGTAGAGTACGGTAAACAAGAGTTGGAAGAGCTGGAGAGCACGGCCCGCGTCCAAATCCTCCGCAATGACTTCCAAGGCGCTTTCCGGTCTTTCGACAAACTACTGAATGGCGACATCTATCCATATCCGTCGCTGTTCCAGAACCTGACTGGCATGCATTACTACTTCAACATGCTGTGGGACCGGGACCCGACGCCGTACGGTGACTGGGAGAAGTACGTGCAAGAGCCGTTCATGCGAGAAGCACTGCACGTGGGCCAGAGGCCGCTAAACAACGGCTCGCTGGTCGAACTCCACCTGGCCAATGACATGATGCAGTCGGTGGCCTCGTGGCTTGCCACCCTGCTGGACGCCGGCCAGTACCGTGTTCTGTTGTACTCCGGACAGCTGGACATCATTGTGCCTTATCGGGGCACGATGAACATGGCACAGTCACTGAAGTGGTCGGGCGCGGAGGGGTTCCATAACGCGACGCGAACCATTTGGCGGGTGGGCCACGAAAACGCGACCGTCGTGGCTGGTTACGCGACCACGTCCGGTCCGCTGACCGTGTTGCTGGTCAGGGATGCCGGTCACATGGTACCGGCAGATCAGCCAATCTGGGGCCTGGACCTGATCAACCGATTCACGACTGGCAAACCGTTTTGACCAAACGACAAGTCCAACGAGTTCATGACAATAATAATATTATAATATTTCATGTTCTATGTTCCCACAATAATTATTTTTAGGTATGCATTTAATCTTCGAGGCTAGAATATTTTTATACCTATTTAAATTTTAATTGGCATTAGCTGCCGATAAATATATGTTATAATTTGTAACCTTCGACTTCGTATTGATTATAATACTATTGTACGTATTTATATATAAATTAATAACAATATTTTATACAGCTGTGTTTACGCCTGTTGTTTAATAAATTGAAAATTAATCGGCTTTCGTGTCGAATGGTATTCAATCCAAGTCATTGTACCATTATTATAGGTACATTAGTACAAAGTTATATGTACCCCGACCACTGCAATACCATAATACCCCATTATTTGAGCCTCGGTCAAAAGTTCATATAATAATATACTATGTTGATAATGATATGAGGATTATTGGATTATTGACTATATTGAGACTCTATTTGTACAGTGCCTATACTATTATAAATTATAATAGTCGACACAATGATAATAATATAATACATACAATGAGACACGAGTAAACAACATAATAATATAATATTTATATTACACTCGCATATTCGCGTAAGTTTTCTCTGGCTTACAAACGTACTCCATGACGGGCGACGGCATGACAAAATTGTGTTTAGCTATTCTAATTTTGTGTAGTAAATTATTATTACTATAGAGCGAATTTAACTATTAAGTAATAAGTATATAACTTAGAGCTACGTAATCTCTCTTCGGTTTTTTACGATATTTTAGTTTTTAGCGAGTTATGGACATTTTTAAATTGTTATATTTTACATACTTATAAGTCATAATACTTACTTAAAATTGTAAATATCGTAAAAACTCATGAGTCGACACAACATGTCGGTGCATCGTCACTCTTGGAACTATAGTGTACACTGTACAGGTCGTACATAGTTTGGATATTTGATGTATATAATGTATTCAATGAATTAATAAGAATCTTGTTAGATGTTTACCTAGTCGTGCCAAGAATGTTGTGCCTATATTTATTAATCATAGCTCGTTTAATAAAAACCCACCAAGACCCATGTCACGGATAATTAAAGAAGACGTTGGAAAATAAGAGGACGATATAACTATATGAGGACGTTACTCAACTGTATATTATATGTGAACAGGGAGTGAAAGCACATGCGATCAATTACTAAAGTGATATTTTAAAAAAGGTAATGGAACCTTTAAGTGGTATCTTGTTTGTAGGAAATCACTCAACACCTTTCAGCAATAGATTCAACGCCATGCACAGCTGCACATAAAGCAAAAACAATACAACAAATATTAATTCCACCAACCTATACCTACTGTATTACTATTAGTAAAATAAGTTACTTTAATAGCACTAACAATATTTCATCATTTAACGTATTTAGTAAAATAAGCTGACTACCGACTTCACTCAGAATCGTTTTCGTACGAAATTATATAATGTCATTAAATACAAATTTAACACATCCATTACAATGAGCCCACACGTCACCTAAAGCAATGCAGTTAAGGTACCCCCACTTGAACACCTTTTTTACTTTTGACACCACAAGGCCAAAAGTACCAACTAGATTTACTTTCCTACCAGAAAAATATATTGAAGTTGAAAATCTAAGCAGTTTCACTGCTCCAAATTCCAAAAGGTGACGACAGACACAAAAGTTGGATGAATCTATTTCAACAAAAAAATTGATTTTAATTATTTTGTTGTAATTTAAAAATCTTATTCGTGTGTAGTAGGGTACTTGGACATTTTAACGTTAAGCTACTAATATATTATATAACTATTTATATATTTTATACACACAAATACACAATGATATTTTAAAATGCTGTTTTCGGTAAGAATGATTAATTTTTAAAGATTTTAACCTACCGTATAACTAAAAGTAAAATAAATTACTTTAATACCAATATAATTATTATATCATAATAATGATATCAGTATTCAGTAATAGGTTTAATAGGTATATATTGATATAGTTTATTAGTTTAATACAACTTTGATTACATATTCAAGTCTAAATATGTCTAATAGGTAACTATAATAAGTATCTAATAAGTAGGTATCTCATGGGCAATTATAGCAATCGATATGCCTTCATTCGTCGGTACGTTAG